CGGAGGAGGCCGGGGGGCGCTGGCCCTCCCCAAAGCGCCCGGGGGGGGGGGAAAAAGGGGGGGGGGGGGGAAAAAAAGCATCAGGAGCTTCCAAGCAAACGTAGAGAAGAGAAACCTGAAGGTTTGGGGTAGGGACGGACGACGCGGGAAAAACAAGATCCTTGAAGACGCGAGGACTGCAAGAGGATGCTCCGGGGCAAGGGGAACTCGGGATCGGAGCTGGCTAAAATCATTTTTAACCACTTCCTTCATTTTTAACCTCCTTCGCTTACCCGCTGGGATCTGAACTCAGGGCCCCGGGCATGGCGAGGGAGGAGGAAAGCAAGTCGGGATGAGACAGGAGGTGCAGAAGGGAGCCTGAATTTCATCCTCCGCCCCAAAAAGCCGTCCGAGAGCTACCCACGATCCCCTCGGCTTTCAGACCAGCTTTTAAAACACATATTTAAAATGCCTCAAAGCTTCGTGGCCGCCCGGATTTCAAAGCGAGCGGTCAACCTCTTCCTTTCGGAGCGGCAAACGCCGCGCAAGGAGACCTAAACGAGGGCGCGGGTACGAAGGGAACGGGTACAGCGACACAGCACGGCCCCCCAAAAAATAAGTCAGCGCCCGGGAGGAGCTAAGGACCGACCGCAAAACCCGTGAGGTTTGCGTTAGCGGCGAAACAGGAACGAGAAGCCGGGAGAGGTCACGGCCACTTACGTCTTCATCCAAGCTCGTTTGCTCCAAATCGACAATTTTGAACTGGACCCGCTTGAAGATTTCTTCCAGCGCTTCGCAGGCTTTGTAATCCAGCTTCTCCCCTGGGGAAAGAGCAGAATAAGGTGAATTTGGGTGCTTCAGCTCGGAGGATTTTGGAAATCCACCTAAAAACCAGCGCGGTTGCTCACCCCAACGCAGATCAGCCGCAGGAGAAACGCTTCCGCCACCTAAAACTCACCCAAAATTGGGATTTCTGGCCGACTTCCCAACGAGCCAGCCCCTCGCCAGCTTCGGTCCGTCTGGAATTACGTGAGGAGCGTCTCCGCTGACAAACTAACGGCCGGCCGACTGCTCGATATAAAAGCACCGCGGGGTCGAAACGAAATCCCCGCCCGCGCGCCGTAAACGCGCGCGCCGTTCCGCTGCCTCCCACGAACCGGATTATCGGCGTTTCGATTCAGCGAGCTCCCTCGAGACCATTTCCCAAGATTTTGGGGGTTTTATTGACTTCTTTATTTGCTTCTTTCCTCTAGGATCTTCCTCGCCGGCCCTGCGCAGCAGCAAGGCTCCGAGGCCACGGCCGACGCCAACCCGAGCGAAAAAGGTGGAATCCAGCTTAAAATAAACCCAGAGCTTTGCGGTTTTTTTTGTAATAACCATCGAGGAAACGGTGACGCAAAGGACCGTGAAGCCTTCGCTAAAGGCTGTGCCGGCGTTACGGCATCGATAACGGCGTAAAGCAACCAGCAGCCGGGCTCCTGAGAAACCCCCGCTTCGAGGGGAAAGGGGGCGGCCGCCGCCCGCGGGATTGGGAAGAAATCATGGAAAAAAAATCCTCTCGGGCAAAGTTGAGCGCAAATGACGGCGACGGGGCCTGTAAAAGATTTTATTTTGGGGTAAGGGCGTGTTGTCGCTCCGCCAGCGGCACGTCTGTCCTCCTCCGGGCGAATCGGCTCAGGACGCGGACGCCCCGGCTCCCCGGATTTTCTCCGGATCGTTAAAAGCAGCTCCCGCGTGGTTTCCCAGCCTTCGGCTTTCCGCTCCGACGCCGAATAAGCGACAAGGGGCAGCAAGGTCGAACCCCAAGGCTGCAGCCCCGCAGGTGGCTTCTGGCCCCGCGAAGGCGACCGTCTTCCTCTCCTTCCCGGAGCTACGGGAGATGCTCCGCAAAAGCGGCGGCTCACCAAGACGTTTGCCGTCGGGAGAATGAACTGGAACACCTTCCCAGTCTTCCCATCGCGCCAGGAGTTTGGAGACGTCAGTTGGGAACGGCTCAGCCCTGACTCGCGCCCCGAGGGCGGCGTTTTGGGAGGCAGGGGGTACGAGGATGCTGGTTGTTACTGGGATTAAGGCGTTCTCCTGCTCCAGTCTCCAAGAGCCCCAACTGGGATGACTCCAGCAAGAGCCGTAGAGACGGAATAAAACACCAGGATTGCCCAGAAGAGAAATAAAATCTGCTGGGGATGGAGAAGGAGCTTACCTTTCAGGTCTAAGCAGTCTATCCTGGGAGCCAGATCTTTAAATTCCTGCAAAAGGAAAAAGCAGCATTTCACGCTCGGGAGAAGGACGGGAAAGCGAGGGGAAGGGGAATTAATGCGCTGAAATAACGAGGGAACGTAACGAATCGGGCAAATCCTCCCAAAACGAAGAGAGGATATGGGATCTTTCAGCCTGAGGTTCAATCGAAATCAAAGCCGCCGCTTACGGCGCTTTGCAGGCTGGATCCGGGCGGGAGATCTGGCGATCCTCCCCGGGGACGAGGCCTCGGAGCTCTACG